TATCAATGAATAAATAAGATTTCCTTCCCTAAAAAAGATACTTTCTTAACCTCTAAAAATTTATATTTTTATAGGACATTATTAAATGAAGTTAGTTTGTGTTTTATCTATTTTCAACATTAATGTTAAATAATCAAATATATATTATATCAAATAATTTAAGAAATGAATGTTTCCCCAAGCTTGAATGATTGTCTATTCAAATAATTTAAGAAATGAATGTTTCCCCAAGATATAAAATAGTTTTGTTTGATTTATCTTATTAATATACCTAATAGTTTTTTTTTAATTATAGTTACTAAAAATAAATACGGAGTGTGGGTCTTTATCAATTATCCCCAACCTTATCTTCCATTATTTTATTGTTCCGCAGCTGGGAATTTAGATTTCCCAGGCATGGTCAATTGGTCATTCTTCAACTTCTTAAAAAGTAGAGTATGCTACATGTACCCCAAAATTTGTATTCTATTTATACACGTTATGTACCAACATCTCGATGGTTCATAATTCACTGACACAAAATGTTAGTGCGTTAACAAAAATTTACACTGACAAAAAGTGTTGGTGCATTAACAAAAAATAGCATTACACTAATACAAAATCTTGGTGCATCCTGTAGTGTACAAAATGTGACACAAATAGCATTATCTTTCTACTAATGATATACGAGTAGGAAGTTCTATTTTTCTTCTTCTTTCAACTGTTTTTTCCCTTCTTTTTGTTCTTACATCTCCGTTTTTAATTGGAACATGCTACATGTACTTCAAAATTTGTACCCCATTTGTACACCAAAAGTATGTACCACCATTTTGATGGTTTACATTGACAAAAAGTTTTGGTGCGTTAACAAAAATTTACACTAACACAAAATGTTGATGCGATAACAAAAATTAGTTTTACACCAACACAAAATGTTGGTGTATTCCTGCAGTGTACAAAATGGGGTACAAATAGCTTTACCCTTTTTAGTTTTCTTTTTCTTCTTGGGAGAAATACGAATATAGCACTTTAATAGGCTTATAATACGCAAAATAGCAGTGCTATAAGTTTTTGAGATAAATTCCCAATATTACCCTTAATTAAACAAATTTGTATTATATATACACTGCCATAATATATACACTGCCACAATATATACACTGCCACAATATATCTACACTGCCACAATATATACACTGCCATAATGTTAGCCACAATATGTACTTCCAAAAATTCAATGTTTGAAATACACTACCACAATATATGCACTGTCAAAAATTCAATGTCTAAAATACAATGCCACAATATATACACTGCCACAATATATCTACACTGCCACAATTCGGACAATCACAGAGCATACTTCTCATAGTTTCTAAGAAAATATTTTAGTTTGTTTATGAAGAAAATTAAATAAATATACCTTCTAAGAAGAACAATGATTCTGAGATTTTTGAGCAAATTCATGCTGATAACGTGTTGTAAAATGAGAGAAAAACTACTCAGAGATTAAGAGAATAGATATAATATAATACACTGTCACAATATATACACTGCCACAATATATCTACACTGCCACAATATATACATTGCCATAATGTTAGCCACAATATGTACTTCCAAAAATTCAATGTCTGAAATACACTGCCACAATATATGCACAGCCAAAAATTCAATGTCTGAAATATAATGCCACAATATATACACTGCCACAATATATCTACACTGCCAGAATATATCTACACTGCCACAATATAAAGCTTCCATGAGTATCCCATGTCCCATCAACACGTAGCAATATCGTCAAATTTGGACCCATCTGTGATGCTCCTTTTAAATAATAAAAGAGAAAATATTCAATTAAATTAAATAAAGGAATGAACTCAAAGAATAGACGTATAACCTAATATGCGATGAAAATGCTGGATTTAATGGAGGTGGTGAATACAAAAACACATCGTATATATATACATGATAGGNTTTTAGTCACATTGCAAACTTCAGAATATTAAACAAATACAAATTAATCTCACCTTTCTGCATGTGTGCAAGTTTTGGGCCGCCGTTAAAAAACTAACGGCCACTAAACAGGATTTTTTGAAAATACATATTTTTAGAAAATAAATGAAAGGTGGGATTATTTTAGGTAAATTTATTTTTTAATTTTTTGACATGCAAAATTTTTTTAAGGATAAGAACCAAATTCAGATATTTAGGATTAAGGAAATAAATAAAACTAAAAATGCATGACAACATTTAGGCATTTAATCTTCACACTGCCCACACCATAGCACATAATCTTAACACTGCCAAAATCACAATGCCTTTCAAAAGACCTAATTTTTCAAAAGGAACAAATACTAGGTATTTCAAAATTGATTTCACACCACCTAATTTTCAGTACGAATAAAACACAATAATTAAAACTAAAAATACATGGAAAAGGGATGAAGGAATGAAAATTAAAAATTGAAGGAGAAGAGAAAATGATTAGCCACATCGATGAAGGAGGCGGAGATAACCTGATGATTGCCGCTGCTGATCGGCCCAGATCGTGGGAGAAGGCCTGAGGACACATGATGGCGGGCGACTGAAGGAGAACGTGCGGCCGAGCGCAAGAAGAGTACGTGCGGCCTAGGGAGTGCCGTAATTTTTAATGAGAAAAAGAAAAAAGGTTAAAGGGCATGATAGGAAAGGATTGACCCCAAAAAAGTGCTAAATTTGTTAAAAATAATGAGTAGTGCTAGATGCGTAATTTAGGGTGAGTTAGAGTGCTATGTAAGCCTCCTCTCACCCCACCTCCACCCCTCCCCCTCCCTTCCGCTTTTTTTCAGCCCCACCCCTACCCTTCCCGCCACTTCTTGTTGAGCCTTCCTTTCCTTTTTCGTTTACGTTATACGGAGTACTTTTTTTAAGTTTTTTTTGTTTTCAATCGTTTTTATTTGTTAATTTTTTTTGTGTGTTTTCACTTTTTTCCGAATGTTTGTCTTATATGTTTGTTTGTTTTGTTTTTGGTCTTTTTATGTTACATTTTTTGTTCGTTTTCTATTTTGACTTGATATTTCAATATCATTTGTTTTTTGTTTACTATCTTTTTTTGTTTGTGAACTTTTTTTGTTTGTTTTTGTATTTTTTTGTTAGTTGATTTCTTTTTTTGTGTATTTATGTTTAATTTATTTGAAATCTCTTATTTGTCTTTTTTTTTTGTTTATTTTCAATCTTCGAAAGAATAATATTTTGGGAAAAAAAGAATTTTTTTTGTATTTTCTCATGATACAATATGAACAAAGGTTGTCTATATATATGATCTCATATGCTAGAAACTCTATATTGATACAATTACAAAAGGAAAGGAGATCAACATATACAGGGAAACTACCATATATATAATAGGTAAAATCCTACCTATCAGCTTAAGCTTTTGGGTTATAATAGTGGATCCCAACTTTATATACATGTGGTTAGTTTTAGCCAACACTCTGCTCATTATTCTCGACCCATCAGAATTCTATCATGTTACCAGAGCATGTTTTGGTCTATCTCGTTTGTCGAGGTGCATGTCTAGACGTTCATTTCTAACAACCTGTTAGTCTTTAGCCCAATTGTCCGTATGGAGTATGTATCTAAGGGTCTGAGACCTGTTTAACACGATTGCTCGTCAAGAAGTCCATACCCAGCGGCTCATGGTCCTTTATGTGTTGGCGCTCAAAAAAAATCAAGAGGAAAAGAGTCCATTTACAAGTGGTCAACCGGTTAGATTCAAAATGACCCGGTTGTCTACTTGAGGGAGAGTGTTAGAGTGCCATCCTACACCGGAAGTCCAAGAGTAAAAATAATCGGTATATAAGCTCTTGAATTAAACTAACTAATTGATTGGATTCAATCTTTTAATGTGATTTAGCCCAAGTATCTTATCACCCAATCCAATCATCCTTAGTCCATCCTAAATTCTAGCTATCAGTCGATATCGATGAGGTTGTGCTCGAAACACAACTTCCAAAACAATCAAAAGGGAAGGGGAAATGTGAAGGGGAACAAGCACAACTCGTAGTGCTCCAAAAAAGTTAGACCCTTGCAGAAGAGGAAGTGTTAGCCAGAGTTTGTGTTTTCCATCGATCCGATAAGAGGTGCGTTTATAATTTCACCATATGATAAGAGCATGAGGATTTCAAAATCATGACCACCGACGTCGATAATCTTGCTCTGAGGCAGGGCCCAAGGGTGGGCTGAGCAGCCCTACCAGACCGGGCCCAATATTTTTAGGGGCACAAATTTTATCAATACTATATAATAATATACACAAAATTGAAATATAGTTTGAGGGCTCCAGGATTCAAACCTTGGTATACAGCGGGGGACAATAGGCACTTCATCCACCCGAGCTACTAATCCCATTGTTAGATATGTTACCCAATAGGATATATAACATACTTGCGTTTAATAAAACTTTCAATTATTTAAAAAAAGAAACACAAGTAGAAAAATAACTTCTTTTTATTTTTTTTTTAAATTAATATTAATACTTATACCTAAAAAAAATTCATCAATACAAATTAAGAAATGCTTATTAATTATACTTTAATATATTAAAATTAATTTTGTCTTCTACTTTTCTTGTTTCAATCAACTAAATATAAGTATGAAGTGTTAGTTACATACAGATTATATAGTATTATCTAAAAACACATTACCTAGCTTTTATTTTTTAAATAATTGTATTGTCTTTCTATTTTAGTATATATTTATTTGATATTCATTATTTATCTCTAATTGTAATAAATAATACAAATAGAAAATAGAAAGTGTGATGACATATGCAAAATGATATAAAAAACTAGATGGAAGAATGAAAAAACACAAATTAAATTTCCTTATTTATTAAAAAAATCTAATAATATAATTTATTTTAATTATAATTGATCAAGCTGTTGACCCCTGAGTCGACTGGTTCAACTATTTAACCCTTGACCCACTAGCTCGTCTGGATTGACATCCGGACAAATTTCCAGAACATTGATTTGGGGATATAAGTATATATAAACCCTTTACTATGATTTTGATTCACTCATTTTAGTAAATCATTATTACGTTAATTGTAATTCAAATACACCGTATAATTTATTTACACACTTTAATTTGTTAGGTCATTAGGAATAAGACCTTTAGGCCTTTTTTTCCCGTCTCGGCCCAGGCCATGGAATTCTCGGGACCGGCCCTGCTCCGAGGGATCATGCAATGGTGATGATGATGAAAGATAAGATAACCCAGAGGTGGCGGCTCAAACGGGGATGTTTAGTTTTTATTATTGTTATGTTTATTTTTAATTCTTATTGTTAGTTTTTATTATTGTTATGTTTATTTTTAATTCTTAGTCGCACAATTATTGTTATTATTATTTAAATTTTATATTATAATGGAATGTTCAATTATTTTATAGTTTTAATGTTTTTAGTTTATTTATTTGAATTAAAATAAGTATTAACAGATAATATTAAAAATTGAAGGAGAAAGGGGAAGCATTTCCATGGAAGAAGAAATGAAAAGAAAGAGAAAATAAAAGCTGACGTGACACTGAATTGAAATAAAGAAATGCATGAAACACACTTCATAACTTAAAGAAAAATGTTAGAAGTACATCAAAAGTATCTCTAAATTTATGCCATATTTCCTTCACCACAAATTTGAGTATAGATAAGAACTCAAGAAGTGTAGAATAGATAAATAAGTGACGAGAAGTCGAGAAGAGTAATGGTATACCCGTGACATTACTTGTATTTAAAACGGTCAAACACACACTTGCTAGTCATCCATCTATACATACGGAGTACTATATATTATCTGCAGCCAGTAAATAAGTCGTGATTTATCGAACACACACATGGAGGTGCTGCAACATTTCAACGGCGAGGTCGCCGGGAACAGACCGTCGGGGTTGCGGCCGCAGCCGGACGACGACGACGCCATCGCGACGGCTGTCAGCAATATTATCACTGATGTTGTTAAGAATGGTGAAATTGCCAAGGAAGAGAGTTGTTTGGAGCACCAAATTGCAGAGTTTTGTAATAATGGAAATGCGGAAGATGACGCAGAAGAAGAAAAGGAATTGAATTTGGAGAGAAACAAACAACGCCGCCGCCGCGTTTACCTCGACAAGACTCTCCCAGGTAATTAAAATCAAGTCCTACGGAGTAATTTTTGACATTGGAGAGAAATTGCCATAGGTCTTATTTTGACAAAATGAACCATGGAGCTTTTAGCATTTTTAGAATAAATTTACACCGTTAAGTTTTAATCTGAAAGGCTAATATTAATTGAAAATACTCTTCCCAAAGAAGACATTAGGATCTCACACTTTATTTCCTTGAAATTATGTTTGGTTCCTAAAATTCAAAAGAAAAAAAAAACAAAAAGGGAATTTCTCTCATTTCCTTACCAAAACAAAAAGATTCTTTTTTTATCTCTCATTTTTTCATCTACCTTGTTTTTTTTCCTTCCCTTGTATTTTTTACTTCTCATTTTCTATTTCTTCCACTTTTTTTTTTTAATTTTCTTCTCTAACCAAACAAAAAAAATATTTTCTTTTCTTTTACCTCTCAAATTACTTGAACCAAACGTATTACTAATCTCTAATAAAAAATTGTTCTTCTTTAAATTTTTTTTCATTCAAATTACTGTAAATCAAACTAGTGTTAGGGAAATGGTTTTACTCTCTGATTTAATGGTTTGTCGTATTGTCATTTAACGAGTACAACATTACACAGATTAAAATATTGATCCATTTCAAATTCTCCATTGATTCTTTATTACTCCAATGTGCGAACTGTTTTCTCGTGTCTCTAAATAATGTTCAAAATCAATGGGCCATAATTATTACTTTGCCCTTCGAAATAAGATTTTTGACTAAAATATTTTAATTTAAATTATAAAAAAAAGATGAGCCCCCATTCCGAGGACCTCCTCTAACCCGGCCAGGAGTTTTAGCATAATAGTCTTCCAGCGCAGGCTCCGTAATTGTCAGAAATCGAATTAAATATTTGACTAAAATATTTTAATTTAAATTATAAAAAAAGATGAGCCCAATACCGAGGACCTCCTTAAATCCGGCCAGACATTTTAACATAATTATCTTCACAATTGTCAGAAATCGAACTCGAGTCTTACCCACTTGACATTTCTTGCTTTTGTCAACTACGCAATGCTCACCCGTTTCCATTTAAGTTATACTTCCTCCGTCCTAAAATATTCTCTCCTGTTTCTGTTTATGAGGTTTGACCGATTTTATTTTCATTTTAATTTATTTGATTGTAGGTGTAAAATTAAAAAAATAAAATTTATATATTTAAAAACTACATCAAAATCAAAAGTTCTACTCCCTCCATTCTCAAAAACACTTTCTCTTTCATTTTTTCCACTTCCAACAAAACACTTCCATTTTCTATTAAAAAACCACTTTTACCCTTACTTTTTCATACCCTATCTATCACATCATATTTTTTCTCTAATAATCTATACATCACACCTTACTTTTACCCATCACATCAGGGGCAAAATTGGAAATTAACTATAATTTAACACTTCCTTATTTTTGCTCCCAAATCAAAATGGGAACACTTTTTCCAAACGGAAGGAGTACAAAATAAGAGGTGACATGACTATACTATTTTATCAAAAGATTAACAAAAATAGGTAAAGAAAATGATTAAAGTTTGACCATGTGAATATGTATCAAACAATGTGAAATTTGCACTAAATAGGACTAAAACATAATGACTTTCCTAACGTAGGACTTAAACTTTTTATTTCCCTAAATAGGACTTAATAATGACCTTGTGGGAGAAATAATGTCCAGTAATGATGGACATTTACTTGAATAATGATTATTTGATAAGGACCAATAGTCCTGAATTGAGAAATAAAAACATATGGTCCTATATTGGGAAAGTCATTATGTTTTAGTCTTATTTAGGTAAATTACTCTCAAACAATTTACTACACCTATTTATTTAAATATTTGACTTAAATTAATACTACCTCCGTCCCGTGAAACATTTCCCCTTTCTTTTTTTATCCGTCCCACAAAACACTTCTCATTTCTATTAAAAAGTCACTTTTACCCCTTACTTTTTCATACCCTACATATCACATCATACCTTTTTACTAATAATCTATCCATCAAATCATACTTTTACCCATCACATCAAGGACATTTTTGGAAATTCAATACCAAAATATACTCCCTTAAATCCCTCCTAAAATGCAAATGTCCCATGTTTCACGGGACGGAGGAAGTAGTATAAAATAATTTTAGAATAACTTTTAAATAATTTACTCAAGCAAATAATACTTTATTACATTTAAAATATCTTTTAAATAATTATCTTAAACTTATAACACTATAAAATAAAATTGATTTTTTAAAGTAATTAACTCCAACAAATAATTTATACTCGTCTTTTCTAACAATAAAGTTCGCATTTACTATTCACATGGTTAAACTTTATTCACTTTGTTGGCTGTTGTCCTATTTCATGTCGGCCTATTTCAAAAAGTAGGAAATTTTACTCCGTAATCCGCAATTTGTAATCAAATTGGGGACGGAGAGTACTAAAATTTAAAATTTTGACCAAGTCAAACTAGAAAGAAGGGAATTTTATCGTGCAAAACATTCAACTTGTATAAAGATCTGTACGGCTTAATCAAGGGATATGGAGATGTCAGGAGTGCACATGGACCTACCAAAATGGGGATTTATGCATGAATGAATGCACTCTTATTCCCTTGAAACCATCCCCTTTTCACGGGAATGCCAGAGGTTAGTGGCTGTCAATTGTCATACTCCTCTCCTTCAAAAATTATTTACTCTGATCAAATTTTAAATTTTATTTACTCTGTTTACTCATTTTTGTTGCTTATTTGATAAAAAAAAATAGTTATGTCATTTTTAATTTTGTACTTCATCCGTTTTAAAATGTCCGCCACATTACGCAAAATAAAAAGAAATTTCAAGTTTTTTCAATTTATTTAATTTAAAGATCGGTATAGAAAGAAAATAAAATTTACATAATTAAAAAATATGCCAAAAGTTATTTAAAACAAGAAGTGACAAAATATTTTATTTTATCAAATAATCGACATGACAAAATATTCCCGTAATATTTGAATAGACATGACAAAACAGAGCCAAACCTAATAACCTGAACCGAATAACCCGGAACCGAACCAGAAATAACCCAAATTAAATCCAAACCCCTGAAATGATCTGAATCGAACCGAAACCGAACCGAATGTATTCAGACTCGATTCAGACCCGAATCCGATTGAACCCGAACGAATTACACTTGAACCGATTAAACTCGGAATTGATTAGACCCGAAACCGATTAGACCCAATATTCATCAAATTCAAAACAAATTAAACTCAAATCTAATAGCCCATTGGTTGATGTCTATTTCAGAAAAGCATATTTAAATTATATGTACAAATAATTCCATGTAAAATCTTTAATTTTGTGTTTTATCACCTAAACTAAAGTGGTTATCTATTTTTATACAGAGTATATATAATTTATAGTGATCTCGTAACACACATTCACAGATATACTGACTCATTATTGTTAACACGTGTATATATACCCCCCTATACACAAAGGGAGGGGAGGCTACACACAAGGCTAAACATTAGAAACTCTAATATCAAGGCACCTCATCTGAAATTGGCATAAACTTGAACCGGTTAAAACCCGAACCGGTATAAACTCGAAGCGAAATAAACCCGAGCCGGAACCAAACCAAAACTCAGAAAAAATCAAACTTAATTAAACTTGGAACCGAATAGAACCGAACCGATTATAACATATATCTGAAAGAGACCCAAACAAAAAAGATTCGAACCAGAATCGAACCGATTGACCGGTCTATTTTTGAATATTGAACCATGACATTCTTTTTAGGACAATAGGAGTAAATTCTTTTGTGTAGTTTTTAAATTTGTAATTTTATTTTTAAATTTTACACTATTTTTCATATAAATTACGAGAAACTTCAACCCCCAAAAAATATTTCAAGAGGCCAAGATCTTTCATGCGGAAACATTCAGACACATACTTTTTAGAACGAGAGATGAAATTATCATCATTATCAGCAATAACCACATCATCCACATAAAATGAGTACCCGAATTTCGATAGATCCACGAACAAGAGTGAAGAGGGAGTAATCGGCCTTAAACTGAACGAACCCATAAGCTCGGAGGGCAGTTGTGAGCTTGGCAAACCAACACCGTGGCGCTTGCGGAAGCCCATAAAGAAATTTATGCAAGCGACAAACTAGTCCTTCTTTCCGAGAGCCGAAACCCGGGGGAAGCTTCATATATATCTCATCCTTGAGGTCTTCAGACATTGTGGACATCCATATGATGGAGACTCCACTGGCGAACCGCAACCACTGCAACGAGAGCTCGAAGAGTGACAAGTTTAGCGGTAGGAGCGAAGGTCTCCTTTAATCAATCCCTTCCTTTTGTCGTTTGCCAAGAATCACCAATCGTGCTTTGCACATCAGACTTATATTTGATTTTGTATACCCACTTAGACCCAATAGCCTTCTTATGGGGTGGAAGTGGAACCAAGGACCACGTTCCATTGCTTCCCTCCAGTGTGAATGTTTAACTGCCTCCGAAAATTGTGTGGGTTCCTCATGTGCATTAATTGATGCCAAAAAACATCTATAGGAAAGAGAAAAATTATCATAGTTAACAAACTTAGTTATGCAGTGAGCAGTATGTTATGCAGATAACAATATGAACACGAAAAAACACGACGACAGATTTACGTGGTTCACCAATAAATTGGCTAGTCCACGGGGAAGAGGGGGAGCAGTTTTATTATAGAGAGGCAAGAACAGAATACAGCTTAGGGTTTGTGATATCACCTATATATATAGCGCTAGGCTACACCCTAACAAGCTTCTAATGTAATGGGTCAGATTCAAGGCAACACAACAAATCTCCACCTTGACTTGAATTCTTCAGACGCACTACCATAGTGCCACGCCTCCCTCTCTTCCTCAGAATTGCCCCGCATGGCAATTAACAGCTTCTGATGTTGAGCAAGTTCAAACAATGTTGAAACTTGCTTTGTGGAACCGACTTTGTGAACATATTAGCAGGATTATCAGTAGTTCCTACTTTCTTCACCTTGATTCTCTTCTCACTTCTCAGAAAATGATACCTCACGTCAATATCTTGGTTCTCTCATGATGAACTTGATCCTTGGCTAGACAAATCACGCTCAAACTGTCACAATACACTGTAGCCTTATCATGATGCAGACCAAGATTACTAACTAGCCCTTTCAACCATATTCCCTCCTTTGCAGCTTCTGTCAAGGCCATGTACTCTGCTTCCGTAGTTGACAAAGTCACTGTAGGTTGCAAAGTTACCTTTCACGTAAAAACAGAACCTCCAAGAGTAAACACATAGCCAGTCATCGATCTTCTCGTGTCAACATCTTCAGCATTGTCAGAATCAGAAAATCCTGTAACCAAACACTGAGTATCACCTCCATAAATGAGACCAACGTCAAATGTGCCCCTAAGGTACCGGAAAATCTTCTTCACAGCTTGCCAATGTTCTCTCCCTGGTTGTCCCATGAATCTGCTAACTACACTGACTGCATGTGCTAAATCTGGCCTTGTAGCATACATCAAACTTCCTACAGCACTGGCATAAGGGACTCGTGACATGTACTCCTTCTCTTTTACTGACTGTGGAGCGAACATCGCAGTGAGATGGATATTGGCAGCACTGGGGGTATCAATAGGCCTAGATGAAGACATGCCAAACCTCGTCAAGACCTTCTGAATGTAACCTCTCTGTGACAAGAAAAGTTTTCTTCTCTCTGTCTTTAATGATCTCCATACCTAAAATCTTTCGAGCGGCTCCTAGATCATTCATCTCAAACTCGGCACTAAGTAAACCCTTCAGCTTCTGAATGTAATACTTCTTCTATGCAGCTATCAGCATATCATCTACATAAAGCACCAGATAGATGAATAAATCATCTTTGAGCCTATTGTAGTAGACACAACAATCATATGAGCTTCGAGTATAGCCCAACTTCACCATATAACTTTCAAACCTTTTGTACCACTGCCTTGGAGACTGCTTAAGTCCGTATAAGGACTTCTTCAACTTGCAAACGTGATTTTCCTTCCCTGGAACTTGGAAACCATCAGGCTGAGTCATGTATATATCTTCCTCCAACTCTCCATGTAAAAACGTTGTCTTCACATCAAGTTGTTCGAGCTCCTGATTCTGATGTGTAACTATCGCTAGTAACACTCGGATGGAAGTATGTCTGACCACATGTGAGAAGATCTCATTGTAGTCCACTCTCTCTCTTTGGTTGAAGCCTCTGACAACAACCCTGTCTTTATACTTGACCCTTTCTGCTGGTGATATCCCTTCCTTCTTCTTGAAAACCCATTTGCATGTAATAATCTTTCTCCCCGAAGGTTGTATAACAAGATCCCATGTTTGATTCTTATGCATCTCTCGGCTTGGAAGCCCCTGCAACGGGGGCTCCATCTCATCTCCCATAGCGGCTAGCCATTTTTTGGAACCAAAACTAAAAACAGCTTCTTTATAAGTAGATGGTTCATAAGTATCGACCTATATAGCAACCCGCAGTGCATAACTCACCATGTCCTCAAAACCATACCTCGTAGGTGCCTGAACTCGAACCCTCCTTGGTCGATCTTGAGCTATACTCCAATGGATATTTGATGGCATAGATTCTGGAAAAACAGGTTTTGTCTGTGGCACCTGTTTATCAAGACTCTGAGTTTCTGTCGTAGTTGCAGGCTTCACAATGGTCCTAAGTAGAGAACTTTCATCAAAGACAACGTTTTTGATGCAGAATAACCCTATTTTTTCTGCTGGAGACCCTGTTCTTTCTGCTGTAACGGGTGAGATTCAAGGCATTACAACACAAATCACAATGAATTAAGGAAAAGGGAACATTTATTTATTAGAACTGACAGGAAATGAGTCACGACATTGCTTATCACGAAAAGAAACATCACAAGGTATAGAAGACTTTGACGAATGACTAGAAAGAAAAGGTAGAAAGCGACAGATCTCGGGAGATGGCTGACCCAGACGTTGGTGCCACACTGCAAAAATCCTTTCTCCCTCACAACACAAGCCTTGTCATGCACCTCCCGTTGGAAATAAAATAGGCCACCCGTTTGTTCACCCGTTCCAATCACTGTCTTCGGGATACAGTCCTGTGTAACACAAGCTTTATTAGTAAACAAGACAAGTAATCTTTTATCACCAAGAAGTTGTGAGACAAATTAAATTGCAGTTGAGCTTAGGAAGTAGCAAAACATTCATTAGTTTCAACGAGTCACTTAGGCACAAGTCACCCTTCTGTGCGGCTTCGGCACCCTGGCCGTTGGGGAGACCGACCCTGCATATATTCATGGGTCGAATGTTCGTCAATCATCTTCTATCTCCAGTCATGTGCTGACTTGCTCCACTATCAATAATCCAAGAGTAATTATCTATACCTGAAAATTGGTTATCAATCTGCACATTAGCTTGGGTGATGAAGGGCTCGGTCACTGCCTTCTCCGTGCAATTCGCGGTACCCCGTCCGGCAAATGCACCCCCTGCCGCCGCGCCTGTTCTGGTTCGTCCCACCCCCGTGGCCACCCCCTCGGCCTCCGTTCTGCACGCCCGATCGATCAGCCCACCATTCGAGGTAGCCTATGATTTGGAAGCACCCGCTGATCTCATGTCATGTTTGTCCACAGTGTTTACATTTGAGATTGTTATCTCGCGTGGGTCTCCCCGAGGACACCGCGAAGCTTACAGGATTTTGTTCTTCATACATTGTCATCTTCAACACCCCCTCTTGCTGTGTTATTATAGAGTATACACGATTGATAGGTGCAAGAGGTTTGGTACTCAGAATGTTTGACGGAACACTCCCATAGCCTTCACTATCGAGACCCATCAAAAATTGATGGACCTTTTCTTCGTCCCGTTGTTTCTCCAATTTTGTAGTGAGTCTACGCTTGCAACCACCACACGTGCAAGTAGGCACCTTCAATAGATCATACTTGGTCCGTCCCTGAGTGTTTGTCCACTTTTGACTTTTGGAACTGTTCATCTAAGCACTTTGACTCATCAAATTTTCTCAATGTGTAAGCCTAAAAATAGTCATGTGTGATCTTGTTTGATTTGTCTTAACATATAGATTATTAATATATAATTTTTATAATTTTTTAATATACAAATTACAAGATAAAATGGATTAAAGAAGTGCATTGGATGGTGTGCAAAAATGAAAGTGGACAAACACTCAGGGACGGAGGGAGTACAATTTATCCCATATATCTTTCAGCTTGCCATAGTGCTTCACGATCTCTTGACTGTCTGTTCTGTTTACAGTTTGCTAGTTCTTTCTTCATGGATTCGCGACCCATTCGCCACAGAGAATCTTGCCTTGATATCGTTCTGCAGCGACCTCCACTTGAGTGATGGAGTTACGCAAATCCGTTTCCATGGTGTTGTAGATCCACGAAACAAGCATAGTATTCACAATCCACCACTCGTCTTCTTCGTCAAAATCATCCTCCGGGCATGGAATGGACCCATCAATGAACCCAAACTTCCGTTTGGCACGCAGAGCTATCCTCATGGCTCTCGCCCATGCTTCATAATTTCTTCCAGTGAGTTTCACCTGCGTAATGAACAGCCCGGTGTGTCCACCGACTTCAGGTCATACGGACTGGCCTTCGCAGCCCGTTGTTTGTCGTTCGGCATGTCATGCACGACTGCCTTCTTCGACGGGGTTACCTCCGTCTTTGATTCGGTCATCTTCCTTGACCGGCGTCTAGGGTTTCAGAGGTCCGAGGTATCTTGCTCCGATACCATGTAGAAAATATTAAAAGAGAATAATCTTTGTGTTTATTTAGTTGTGTACCTCTACAATAATCTACCCCTTTTTATATAGGGAGAGGGTTAACATAAACTAGGAAATTCTAAACAAATCTATTCCTACCATAACTAGGAATGTACAATAATAAAGGAACCTCCCATGTAACAAATTACTTTCTTTAAACATCGTAACGCATAATGAGAATATAATTGATGGATGGAGGGAGCATTTTAAAATTATGGAATATTTTCTTCATTCAAAATTAAGTGATCATTATGATTTTTGAGATATATTAAATGTTGAATACTAGATACTTATTTAGCTCATATGAAAATCTGCCATTATGTTGAATTATGATTCTTCAATCATATGATAAAACAAGAAAAATGATTATAGGCTTAGTTTGGGCTGTGATGTTATGATGTTTGATGAGAGGTCACATGTTTAAATCCTAGTAGTATCAGCTCTATGTGCTTTAATAGGTTAAGAATATACGAGAGGATGCTACATTGTAATAAAAAAAGAGCACAAAGTCTTGAAGGAGTACTACTTTAATGCAGTCTTACAAACTACACCCTTAAGCAACATTGAATCTATGTTTCATGCTACAAGCCATTGAAAAATCCCAAAAATGTTCATCATACATGCATTGCATTACATGCAGAATCTACTAAAGCAGCTGACCACCACGATGATGGCGACATCAAGACATCAGCAGAGATTGGAAACGTTGCAGAAATCCACTCTCTCGTCAACGCCGCTCTGAGGGGTGACACAAAGGATGTCCGTGGAAGCTCAAGGGAATTGGAAGATGAAGTGATAGAGCTGGAGTTCTTCGACAGCAGAGCCGCAGACAAGCTGCGCAGCACACACGACGCTTATTGCCCACACTGCAGGAACCCCATTTCCAAGGTTGTTCTGAGGATCAGGCACGGAGCGGCTGTGGGCCCACCACCGGCCCCTAAGCCAGCAGAGAAGGATTTGGATTTGCTTGGGTGTCTGTCATGTTTCAAGATTTTCCTTCCCTCCAGAGTAGCAGCAGCAGCAGATGGTGAGAAAAGTACAGATGGGAGGGCTGGAGTGGAACAAGAATCTGAAAGTGCATCTCATAATGGTATGCATAAGTTATTTGTGTTTTTTTTAGTAATTATTATTACCCAAACCCTCATAAAATAAGGTAATGTATTCATTCATTTTGATTTTTTCGACTCAAATTTGGCAAATTTTGATTATGATTTTAATACAAGAATAATTTCATTCTATATTTCTTGGGGAGAACACCTTTAGACATTTATTTCATTACAATAATATGCAATTTTTATGTATCGTACTAATTAAAGTTTGTTTGATTTGACTTGAAAAGATCAGACTTGGACCAATACTCGTTGAGTATCGGTCACTAACGTAGCCAAATGAACCCTTAATTTCTCTTGCGATTATCATAATCATAAGAAATGGTAAGCACATACAAAACATGTTGTTAAGCAGGGAAATGCTTTGGCCTCCTGGATTGGATTTATGATGGGCAGAGATCAACAACAGCAAACTCAAACACATCTCAAAAACAACCATCTGATTCTGAGTCTTGTTCTTCTGGCCAAGGTGATATAATAGTGATTGATTCTATCTTAGCTTTCTTGTTCATCTATCTCTTCTTTATGTCATGGGAGGCTTTAAAGTAAGACCAACATGTATTGATGGGCATGGGGTAACCCCATTCTGAACCTTGTTGAATATCTATGTTCTTCTTCAAGCAGGGAAGAAGAAGCCAGTTGAAGAGCATTTAAGAGGAGATGGAGATTGTCTTGTGCAGAGTGCTTCTGCACCATTACTTCAGGGAATCCAAACTCCATCTCCAGATTTGAATGGTAATGCAGCTGCTATTAAACATGAGCCCCATAACCTCGGAAAGCCTTCTGCTGAAACACAGTTGGGTCTGGAAGAAAGGCATTCTTCCTCAGGTAATGAAAGAATAATGTTACACATACTACAAGTGGTAGTAGTAGACCATCTTTGTATTATACTCCTTATATTCTTAAAAGTTGTAACTTTTTTTTGGTTTTTTAACCGTATAAACCCTGGCAGGACGAGAAGTGCACATTCCAATTGAGGAGAGCACGAACGAAGCAAGAGCTTTGACAACCACCACACAAGGTCCCACAGTGGAGAGTGGAAGAAGAGGTTCAAGTTCTATAGAGGTCGTGAAGAGCGTCGTGTATGGAGGTCTAGTGGAGGCAATTGCAAGCTTAACTCTGGTTTCTTCTGCTGCAGCCTCTGGTGCCACCACATGTAAGTCCTTTTTTAAACTCTCTTCCCCCCCAATCCAAAAAAGAAAAAAACATCAATGGGTCTTTTTAATGCTTAGAGATTTGTTCTATGATCCATATTTGCAGTGAGAGTGTTTACTATTGGGGTAGCAAATCTCATTGGTGGTCTTGTCATCATGGCACATAATGTACGTAAATCTTGCTGGTGATCGAATCTTGTCATCAGTCATGGCACATATTGCATTTCAAGAACTAATGTTTTTTTGGACTTGATGGGTGCAGTTTATGGACTTGTACAAGAACCACCCCGCAAGTGAGTACCAAGAAGTCTTAGGCCAAAAAAAGCACTTCCCACTTCATGTCATTGTTGCACTGTTATCTTACCTCATATTCGGCCTGGCCCCACCCGTCATCTACGGATTCACATTTCGCAAGGGAGACGATAGGGACTCGAAGCTCTTAGCCGTTGCAGTGGCTTCGTTTGTGTTCATCGTTCTTCTTTCCATTGCAAAAGCGTACACCCAGAGAGGAGCCAACACGTTTAAGGAATATACGCTAACTGTCTTGCAGTATGCTGTTACTGCAGCTATGGCTTCTGGTGTTTCTTATGTGGTGGGTGATTTGTTTGGGAAGATGATGGATGAACTTGGGTGGCTCAACTCAACCCCACCCAATGTTGTTCTTCCATCTACGCATCCAAGCTGGGTTTCATATTGATTCTTGAAATCCCAATCGGTCATCAGCCCAGTTTCTTCTCTAGTTTCTTTTTTCAAAGTGTTTCCCTTGTTTTTTTTTGTTTTGAGACATTATGTAATGCATACCATATGGTCAGAATTATTGCGAATTTTTGAGTGGGGAAACATCACAACAGCACAAATGGCAATTTAAAACAATCAAGAATTAAAATCAAAGAGAAGGTATGGCAAGTTTAACGTTGTCCATGGGAAAAACACAATGTTTCTTTACTTTCTTACAACAACAACAACACCATTACCCCAGTGCCTCAACGGCTCCAGCCCATTGCGAGGTAAGGGGGGTCGGATGTACGCAGTCTCACTCCTATGTTTAAAACATAGAGCGGGTGTTTCCAGATGACCAATGATGAACGTCGAAAATTGCATTGACCAACTGCTACTTCACAATGACAAGAAGCGTAGACAGTTTAGAGAGCCAATTTACTTTATTCCTGTTGGGGAAGCACGGAACAAAACACAACGGAAGCGTATAAAATCTTTTTCCCAAATTAAATGAGATGAACAACAAAGCACAATATACTCCAAAAATCAGCACCACCACCACAAATAGATAGCAACGGAAATAAAATAAAGAACACACGATTTACGTGGAAACCCCAAATCGGGGAGAAAACCACGGCCGCTCAACAACGGCACCCAAACTTCCACTAATCACCAAGAACCAAGTGGGTACAACAAGTTCTCCTCTCTAGTAAACACTAGAGGCATACACAATCATCAAGGAGCAACCTTGGAACAACAACAATCAACAATTCAACATAAAATGGAGTAAAAACTCCCAAAAAAACGCAGGTCTGAAAACGCAGCCAGAAAACAACCTTCCGGGCATCAAAATGAGAATCTGACCGTTGGATTTGAAGAGGAGTATGTGAGGAACAACATACTAAAATTTGAGCACGATCGNTTTTTTTTTTTTTTCTCTTGCGTAGCTACTGCCACATGCTGCCTTATCCCTTCCTTTTTTTTTTTGTTAATAGCCACACAATATGGGCCACCAAAACAAATGGGCTAAAGCTTTACACATAAAAGAAGCCCAAATACAAAAGATATATGTAAAGTATTGTCCAATTAAAATTGGACACTTCCTCCATGTAGGAGGGATATTTCCCAACAATTCCATCATACCCCAAAGCCAAAAAATAGTGAATCTTTGGCTCCACTATTCCCAAACAAATACACAATGTTTCTTGGCTAGGCGAGTTGAATTGACGCTTGAGAAACAATGGAGGATTGGAGAGGCAGATTCGTACAGTAATGGAAGAAGCAGCAATTCGCCCTCTCACAATGAAGATCCATTATATTTGTGACGAGAAGCGATATTGATGGAACCATTTTCAGTCATCATCGATCTAAAGAAGCAACGACGGCAGTCCAGAAGCACATTTTTAGGCTATGTATAGGGCTCTACCACACTTCACTCCAGATCATCAAACGCGGGCCACTCAGCGCCACATCATTACTTTATGCTATTTATCATCCCGCTCACTGTGCTTTCATTTTTTAAATACTCCCTCCGTCCTAAAATTTTCTTTTCGGTTTGGTTTACGAGGTTTGATTAAAATTATTTTCAATTTGAAATTTTTTGAAAAACACACGTAGGAGCTTTGGAATTAGAATTTTAAAAATAATTTTTTAATGCAACTAATTGTTAGGGAGGGGGAAACCAAAAGAAGAAGAAGAAGAAGAAAAGGCAGAAGGATTTAGCATGGCCTCGGCCACAGCCTTTGATCATGAGGAGACTTGGGGGGTGGCGGTGTTTAGCGTGGTCACGCAGAAACTTGGTAATACCATTGTGCCCAACTTTATGGATCTGTGAGTCATTTGCAACTTTGATGCGTTTTAATGTGGCATAAAGGACCCACAACATTCCATCAGGCCATCAGGGCAAATTAGTCATTTGATATTAAATACGAAGTACTAATTTACTAAATATGAAAAATAGAAAGTACATTAGAACAATTCGAAAGGAGCCAAAACATTAGAAAGGAGGATGTATTTGGTTTCCATTTTGTTTCCAACAGAGTAAAGAAGAAACGAGAACAGTGGAATAAAAAAATAAAAAGCAAAAATGCATTAAAAAGACGAAAAATAAAATTTATTCCATTTTGTTGAATTTTTTAGATAACATTATTTTTTCTTTTTTCTTACAAATAGACTTGTACAGACAGTGTGCAAGCCAAACTTAACACAAAATAATTGACAATTTATATGGGCATGCCGGGTGAGACATGATGAATCATATGAGGCTAAAAGTTATACACAAATCCGCTCACTGGCAGGCCAGGCCGTCCACCGGGCTTTCAGGGCAAAAATTCCATCAAGAAAAAAATACTCCGTAATAAAATGGAAGTAATTTTGTAATAAAAGTTTGAGTTAAATGTAGAAATCGCCATATGATCTTTAATAAGTAGGTAAACAGTCTCTGTATTTTTAAAAGTTGGAAAATAGTTCCTATGGTCTAAGAACTGATGCATATTTAGTCTCTTCTCTAAAGAAAGCATAAAGCGCACGGAACATAAGCATACTGTGTGAAAATGTGAAACATGTACTCCCTCCGTCCTAAAACTTTCTTTCCGGTTCGCAAAACGAAGAAAAATACCAAGTTTTTTCAATCTATTTTATTTAAATATTGGTATAGAAATAAAAAAATAAAACATACATATTTAAAAACTACATAAAAAGTTCAACAAAACAAGTGGTGACAAGAATATTTTATTTTATCATATAGGCCATGAAAAAACACAAATAAATATAAATTCCCGTGAAGTTGGAATAGTGATCTGGGAAGAAAGTTTTAGGACGGAGGGAGTAACAAAAAAGAAGTTTATCTTATGAAATTGCCTTCTCTCATCTTCGTGGTTAAAGACAATGGACAATCTTTTTTAGCTCTTTTCTTACACGATTTTACATTAGAATAATGCTACTTGAAAAATAAGATAATGTCGGGCTCACATAGGATCCTATATTACGATTCAAGAGTATCATTATAGAAGAGACGGAGAATTTGTTGTAAGAGCTAAACTAAATAGCAATGCTAGAATCACAAATACTTTGATCACAAAATACACAAACTTACTAATTGTGTATTTAAATGTTTACTTTTTAATTATTTAGCATCATTTTATTCACTTGGTGAGGTGCACAAATAGCAGGGTTGTGTATTTTATGATCGAAGTATTTGTGACTTTAGCATTTCTCTAAGCTAAAAGATGCAAGATATTGTACTATAGTTCAAAGTTACATATCACAATTAAAATTTCATATTAGCTTTTTTTACTTTTACATGATTGACGTCTTTGCATAATACGCATGTGTTGTGTACATTGTTAGGAATTTTCTATTATAGAAACTATTATGCTATGGTTGTTAGACCACATAGATTATTTGACAACTTTTAAAATTCGAAGCGTATTTACCTCCTTATGAAACACTACATGAATTATGTATGCATATAACTCTAAAGTTTTACAACAGAAAATAAAGTCTAAAAAAAGAAGAAAAATAAACGGGCTTGCTAGCCTTAACGGGCCTAAACTCTTGGATCAAAACTAATTAGTACCCTGAGTCTGCGGCGTGGCGTATGAGACCAGACTCTGGCTGGCCAAGGGCTTGAACGCCTTGAAGTATAAAGTCCATAAGTTGGACTGCAACAGCCGGAAGGACGTAAACTGGAGAAGGGTGCTGTGAACAGAGAAGAAAGAAGAAGAAGAAAGAAGTAGGGTTTCAGGGATTCCGGGGTGTTTTGTCATTGGATTGCTAAGATGATTTACGACGTGAACTCGCCGCTTTTCCGATCCTTCCTTAGCCAAAAGGGAGGCACATCCGACAAGAGGTATCCTGTCAAATTCTGTTGCTTGTGTTCTGCACTGTGATTTGCATCTCCTTCCATCTTTTTTTTTAAAAAAATTATTTTTCTTCAAAATTGATAGTTTAGGTTATATTCATGGTCGAATTCCATGCATCATCACATTAGTAACTATAGAAGATATAAGATCGCATTTGGGATATTCCGTCTCTTGTTATAGGATCTGGTTAGAATTTTTCTATCGCAGATAGATGTATGTACATAGATATGTACCACGGGCTTGATAACAGATTTCATGATTGCAATGTATGAGAACAAGTCTATAGCTTGAGCCAACATGCTGTTAAATTTTGAGGGTTTATGGTCGGATATTGTTCAATCAATCATATTTGTTTGGAAATTGAAAGGCTTTGATGTTAAGAACTGGACCTCAAGGGCCACTCTATAGAAAATCCAACTAGTCATTGATTACATGTTTGTCTTCATTTACCTTATACGGGGTACTTTGTTCTCCAATGTGCTTGTTTCCAATTGCATTATAATATATGGATAATGGTGAATGTTTAATCCACCGATAAAAAGAGTTATTATTATAATGGTCTTGTTTTGAAGTATTCTATCCTTTTATTTTCAACACTATCAATACGGGGTTCTTTCTTATTCAAATGTTTATTTTTTGGATGAAAGGAAAATGGTGAATGGTGGGACATAATGTTTGCTCTATACTTGTTTGAGTTGAGGTCAGTTGACAGTCACGCTATGTTTGGTTCGTGGAATTCAATAGAAAACGAGAAGAAAGAGGTTTTTCTAGTTTTTCTCACCAATATAGAAGGAAACTTGTTTTCTCCCCTCTTAATTTATTTTATCTCATTTTTTTGATTTTGCTTATCTTTTCTTTTCCTCTCTAACCAAGGAATATTATTTTTCATATCAATTTTTTCTTTTTTTTTCCTCGAATTTCTTTGAACCAAACATGGTCTAAGGGATTAGAGAAAAGAGACGAATAGCTCTCAAAGGTGCTTTCTCTCTTTAGAGGTGGTGGTAAGGTATCTCTAGGGAGAATCCAGTGTTAATACTCTCTCAGTTTCATATTTGCATTTAAGTTATCACCTTTCTTTTGTATAGGCAAAATGGAGTAAATAAAAATTGTAAAATTATAACACCAGGCGGGAATGCATTAAGAATAATTCGTGCTAATTACCATTTTATGCATTAAAAGAATACTCTGTGTTGTAATCATAGTAATTATCTTTGCAATCAATCACCATATTCTTAAGCACGATTATAAGTTAGTACTTTTTGTGTCTCAAAAAGATCTTAGTGTTTACTTTCAAATGATTATACTTTTTCACTGTATTTGCTTATATACGTTATTCATTTGATAAAATAATGTAGTTTTGTCTTTTTTTTGTGAAATTTCTAATTTGATGTTTTTTTAATATATATAAACTTTATTTGAAAATTTTATATCAATATTGAAATACATTGAATGGAAAATAATTTCTGTCAAATATCGTAAATGATAATCTCATGTTCATTTTGGGATGGAAGAATCGATTTATTAATTACTCTCAACATACTGTAACTACTCATCTCTATTTGAAGCATTCTTGTGACACAAATTATCTCTTAGAAGAGTCTTATGTAATACAAAGTTCTTTATTTTTTGGGGAATATTTTTATTAAAGAATTATCTAATTAGGACTAAAACATGTTGCATATACCTCTATCACGATATAACATTTAATCTTTTTATATCAAAATATGGCTTAGGCTTATAATGTCAAAAGGTGTCAATATATAAAGTAAGAAGAACATTATGAACTATGAAGTGTCCACATATAATGCCAAGTTATGATATTGCACAATAACAAGTACCTTATTTAGGTTCTGTTTTTTTCAGTTAGAAAAATGAACATCCAAATTTATCTAACTTCTAGTTCTTTTCAATACCTTTTACTCCCTCCGTCCCCCTGTATTTGTCCATATTTGACTTTTGGAACTGTTCATCTAAGCACTTTGACTCCTCAAATTCTCTCAATGTATAAGCCTAAATATAGTCATGTGTGATCTTGTTTGATTTGTCTTAACATATAG